CTGGACAACAGTATTATTCTTGCAAAATTTGTGCTGAATTAAAAATATATATCATCTAGGAAAGAAAGAAGAGATTCTGGCCCTCCGACATTTATCCAGAGTGAGCTTCAGTTTCTGTGAAGTTTTCAGTTATTTTCGCTGTAGATTTACTGTTCCTAACTATAGCAGTGGGGATCAGCAGAGACTAGGTTAAGAACATTAAAGTCACAGTGGACCTGGGGATTGTCCGTGCCTACATGCTTAGATATGCTAGCTTCTAAGTGAGGAAACTCTCATTTTCTGAGGAAACAAGTTGGTTCAGTTGGGCAGAACCCTATACTAAACCAGCAAAATTTCCACATGAATGGTTTCCTCTTGGAATTGAAAATTAGTAGGCTTTTCTTTCCACTCCTAAACTTGAAGAAAGCTTTGTACTGCAATTAAAATGGGGAGGTAAAATGGCTTGTTGATCAAAGCAATGGAAGTGGAATGAGAAAAAGAAATTGAAAGCAAGTGATATGGGAGGTCATGCAAAATATGTTTTTCATTTAGATAATTCTATCCTCTCTGCCCCAGAAGCAGAACACTGGACTGTCTGTACAGAGGTTAGTCAGCCAGGAGTCCGATGGTGTTAAAGGATGTCCAGGCGGGGGACTGAATCTAGAACCCTGGCCTCATTAAGGTACAGTTCTAGCCATCTAAGCTAATTAGCTTAGCTTAGTTTAGCCTAATACTGACAGTAGACTGCACATTCAGTGTTACAGAAAGAGCAGGGAGTTATTTCTGAGAGATAGCTAGTTTGTTTTACTAATGACCAGGAGCTGGACATTTTAGCCCCAAATGTCAGCATAAGACTTACCCTCCAGTCTTGCTGGCTCCTCTCATTTGTCTACTTCTCTCTGACCACTCAGATTTACATATTGGTCTGTTTGCAAATCAAAAGGAGCCAAGGGATGGATGAGTGAAGAAACACTTAGATTCATTCATTTATTTAAAAAGAATTTATGGAATACCTATCCCGTAACAGTAGCTATGCTGAGTTGCTAGAGATAAAGTAAGCAACAAGGCAGAGCCACTGACCTCAAGAAACTCGGAGTTTGTTAATAAGGCAGAAATGAATGGATTATGACCTTGCAACCTCTCACATAAGAGACAGAGAATATTGAGTAATTTCATTGTTTATTTCATTATTAATGTGTTATGTGATTAATCTGCAAGCACCCATTAAAATATTTCTTGAAATATGACTCAGTTCAGCTTTCAGTTGAAAGAGCCCCATCAGTTATCAGTTTGAGTTGGGGAGAGTGGCTTCTTGTTCTGCATTTATTTTGTTCTATTTCTGTCAAAAACTAACCTGTGCTAAACTGAATATCTGATCAGAGGAGTCACAAAAGAACATTTCAGTCTAATGTTCTGCTCAGTATCTAGCGCTTCATGAGGCAAAAACTCCTACATTTATACCTATGGCATCTGAAATACACTGTTGACAAATGAATTTAGTTTTTTTCTCTGATGTGTGTAGAACTTAACTTTTTAAAAATAGTTCTCTTAATATACATTAAAGCTTAAAGCATGTCAACAAATGCAGTTAAGGTCTATGTATTTTTCATTGACTGCCACTTGACCAGTATTTAGGAGAAGAAAGAACTTAGTCACAGATTAGACCCCCCCCCCCAAAAAAAAAAGAAGAAAAAAGAGCTAAAAGACAATGATTAAGGATGATGCTAAGCCAATCAACAGTTTGTAAAAATAGAAAGAAAAGAAAAGAAAAGAAAAAAAGAAAATCTCTGCCCACATCTGGCCTGGGAAAAGAAACTGGCTTATTTTTAGCCACATTTGGAAAAACAGATAGTGGAAGTATTTTATGTAAAGGCTGGTAATGCACACCCTCACGCATCAGCTATCAAAATAATAGGATAAAGTAAAATACCATTGGACCTCAAATGACAATGAATGGTGCTTCACAGTCTTTGATTTTCAGGAAAATGAAGAGAGATGTTTGCTAAATGAGAATTAAAAGAAAGAAGATGTCATCAGGGAATAAATAATCGTATCTTCTCATCAGGTTCAAACTATTTTCTCTATGACCAGATTCATAAAGGTTATGAAAAGATGAGACAAGTTAATTTTTTACCAAAGGTTGGGATGGGTCCCTGCAACTCTGTTCCAAGATACGGCTTGGAAATGTAATTGGTTTCAATTAATCATGAAGTAGTGCCAGAAAATGATGTTCACAGTGTTACTGTGGGTCTTGGCTGCTTGAGAATCTAACAACTTCCTGCCTGCCTCTTTCTCTTTTCTTTTCTTTTTTCTCAACATAAAGCCAAGAAAAATGGGGGAAGGTGAATAGATGTTTTTCTTTTTGATCTAGCAACTTCTGTATGGAACTTTTAATTATACAGAAGAGATAATTCAGCAAGATATGCACTGACAGAGGTATATTTCAACTTATTAAAAGAAGAAAAGATTTAATTTTAACTGAATCTAACAAACTTGAGACACATTTTAAACCAAATATTTATAAATGAATGAAATACGGATTGAAATAAGAAAGACCTGCAGCCTCTGTACTGAGGTAGAGAAAATAGACTGATATTTAGGATGCTGGGGGCCAGTCCCTGATCTATCATACACAAGCTGCCTGATCTTGAGCAACTCCTCACCATTATCATTACTTTTTTTGTTTATGATAGATTTGACAAACATCATGGAAAATCTGCTACCATTTGAGAGATAATTTGTTTTTTTTCATACAGTGAAATAGAATATTAGAAATTGGCTCTGATCACTTAATATTTCAGAATCTGTGCTTTCTTCACCCCTATTTTTTTTCTTTTTCTTTCTTTCTTTCTTTCTTTTTTTTTTTTTTTTGGTAAATAAATTCAGTTTGTCTCTTCTACAAGATCGTGAGCACTCTCAGAGCTTAAGGTCAGAAATGGTGTTTTTGCCTTTTTGGGCTCAGCACCCAATAGATGTTCACCATGGTAACTCTTGATTAGAAGTTAAGACTCTTCTTCATTTAAAATCATTTCCTGTATGTAAATAAGATCTAGTGGAAAGTAGCCACTCTTTGATATTCAGGCAAAATGGCTTCATCCTAACCTACCCAGCTAGCTGTGATCCTGTCAGTTAACCTTTAACCTTTCTGTGTCTCTGCTCTTCATCCACCACATAGATGTAGTGATCTTTTAAAAGTACATTGCAATGATTAGTAGATGAGAGTTCTTCAACAAGTTGAAAGTACTGTTTAATTTTATTGGTGTCATTAATAACGTAAGACTTGTGAAAATACAGGGAGCCAGACTTTGCTCTCCTGTTTGGATGCACAAAGAGATTGCTTAGATAAATATAGTCACAAATCATTCTTTGAGTGCTCATAATCAATGTCCACTGTCTTCTAAAATTTTGAGTGGATCTTGATGGCATACCCTGTGAAGGCAGAATTTCTCCAATTATAACCTAGACTTGAACTGGCCCAGTTCATCTGAAGTTTCCTCACTCTGCCACTAAGTAGTTTTATGCCATATTAGAAAGTTTGGTATTTGGGACTGTACTCCTTTGTTTACTGTAATGGTCTTGCCACTTCATGAATTCAGTCACCTCCTGGAGCCCTTAATTTGTCTTGCCAGAAGCTTTTAGTGAGAGAAAAAAGCTGGATGAGCCTGCTTTCCCTCAGGTCTTTTAAACTAGTATCATACTGAGTCACTGAAATACAGTCTTCAGGATGGGACTGATAGAAACAGCCAACTCAGGTTCTGGGCAAGAGAGCACTCACTGTGTTCAGAGCATCCTGCTCAGGTGTCTTCCCCTAAGAGTATGGTCCATGTATCCTCACAGATGGGCCCCAGAGACAAGGTCATCCAAACACAGTTTGAATATACATGATCAATGCCTGGCACAGAGTAACTACTTAATACTTTTTAAAAATGCATTAACAAAGGATTCATATAGCAACTGTCTACTGAGTACCCACTTTATCTGTAGTTGGGGGGAGACACATAAGAAATCTATGACATGGTTTTATACCAAATATTGTAATTAATTTCAGAAGAAAGAACATGCATATAATTTGAGCATTAAAGTGGGGAGTTTTTAAATGATAGAATGAGTGATGTAAAGAATAAGGCTGTAAAAATTCAAGGAAATGTGGAGGGAAGCTGTGAAGATGTTTCTTTGGTAGTGAAATTGAAGTAGATTTTGAAAGATGGATGGAAATGAGAAGATGCAGGGTTTGCCATTTCAAGGAGTAACAACATGAGACAGTGTCTCAAAATGGAAATGGAAATGTGTTGTTATTTTTTTTACTGTTTACTTTTGGGCAATGGGGAATGGGTATTGGAAGTAGGAATGTAAGACAATATAGGATTATAACATACAATATATGTTACATTAGAACCCATAGAAGTACTAATTAATGTGCAGTAGGCTGTATGTGTAGATGTTTATTATTTGAAAGAATAAAAAATCTGAAGTAATTTAAGTTCCATCAGTAGAGGAATGGTTAAATAATGTATGGTGCATTCACATCATGAAATACCAGAAAGTACCTGAAAAGAATAGATCTTTGTGTGCTGACACAGACCACCCTGGAAAGATGTAACAGTGTGTTAACAGCGAAGATGCATTCCTGTAATATTCGTCACCAACTTTGAAAATTGATTTAAGAAAATCAAAGTGGTATTTCAGGAAGATTAATGTGGTGACATTGTGTCAAATGAAAGGGGAGTGATTGAAAGTGAAGAGGGATAGTGGGAGATGTTTGCATGAGTACAAATGCAGGAAGCCAATGATAGGGACCTGAATGGTAAAGACAAAGAGAACTCAGAGACATTCCTAATTTTAAAGGACTTCATGACAGATTTCCTAATGGAGGGTATGAAGGAGAGAGAAGAGAAAAGAGATTTCCAGGTATAAGCTTATACTGGAACTATACTGAAGAAATATTTCTACTAACTGGAATAGCCCCATGTTAATCAAACCATCTCTAAAGAAATTCTTTATTTTGTCTGTTTGTCTCTCAGGATGGAAGAAACAGTGCGAAATCTATTGCAGAGTCAAGGGCCTCCAGAGCAGAAAAAAGAAGAAACTGTTAATATAATGGTCTATCAGGTACACCACGTTTCTCACTCTTGGCTGGGCACCAGTTGGCTTGTTTTTCTTGTATTTTTCTAACTCTGTCCTCCCTGACCCAGAGATAAATAAACAAGTGTGGTCCAGACCCAGGTGCTGTGGACCATACAGTCACCTCTGCTTAAGGAATCACATACATGTTTATTTAACTCCTTTATATCTTGGACTCTGTGAAACAAATTGTAGATTGGGTCATAGGAAACTGAAAAAAGTAAGTTTATAGTGAAACAGAGAAACCTATAAAAGTACCATAGTACTTGGGGTACCAGGGTGGCCCAGTCAATTTAAGCATCTGACTCTTGATTTAGGCTCAGGTCATAATCTCACAGTTTGTGAGGTCAAGCCACGCATCAGTCTGCATGCTGACAGTGCACAGCCTGCTTGGGATTTCACTGTCTCTACCTTTACCCCATCTGTGTTCTCTGTCTCTCTCTCGAAATAATTAAATAAAAAGTACCTTAGTGTATATTCCATGGTCAGGGTGATAACAGAGGTATCTGTAGCATTCTCTGGGAATATGGAGGGGAGTGACTCATCCTGTCTGGGAAGTTAAGTGCCATACCGCCAAGAAGGTATGACACTTGGTATATTTCAGAGGTATGACACTTAGGGACCTGAGAGAGAACAGGAAGAAGGATGTTGCCAACAGCAGGGTAGCCTAGAGAAAGGTACAGTAGTGTGAATTTGCATGGCAGGCTCAAGAAGAATAAGAAGTTCAAAGTAAGTAAATATGGCCTGATGAGATAAAAATCTTGATGGTGAGACTGGGGGTACTCAGAAGAGTTGGATGAGGTCATGCTTGTATGTTGTGCTCATGGGTGTGGCCTTGCACCTTGGGCACTGTAGAGTCAGAAGAGGTCCAAGTTGGTAAGTGGTAGACAAAGTGGCCAGTCACTGTCTTCTGATCATCCTCATTCCATGGTTCTGTAACACAGCAAAGCAGCCAGCATGGTAAGAAGAGCTTCTGATCTGAGCACGACCCAAGTTGGCCACACAGATGAGACGGCTCTGGCAAGGTGGGAAAGGGAAATACACAGAAAGAGCACAGGCACCTGACATAGAGAAATTGAAGACTTTTACTGGAAATCACTTAAAATCACAAATAGAGACCTGCTATCCATTGTACAACTAAGCATAGGGAACCCCAACAGCTAAATAAGGCAAGGAAATGGGCAGAAACTTGGGGTAAACACTGGGCAACCCTAGATTTTTTTCTGACTAAAAAGCAAGAGTGTCTGGGGAGGCACGCATGGAAACCTGTCTGGTAAAGATCATGTCACATGATTTTCCCTCAGTGTATGGATTCAGGAGTCTACAACCCAACTTGTTATGAAGAAGATCAGAAGGGACCAGATAATAAACGTCATAGTATTACACGAAGTTAAGAAATCTAGGCATGGTTAGCCTTAAGAAGTGTGTGCACTAAGTAGTTGACTCTTGAAGCATACAAGGCTACTTTATGATAAGGGGGACATCTGTTCTCCAGCTCCAGGGACAACAGTGCAAGCCATTGACTTAAGCTACCAGAGAAGAGATGAAAGTTAGCTCCAAAAAAACAGTAGGAAAAAAATATCACTAACGTCCATTTCTAGGGAAAGGGTTTAGATTCTTCTCGAGGGGTGGTCTTGCCTGCCCAGCTCTTCCTGATGTGTGGTCACCCGAAGTTAGGATAAGGATTTAAGTCCTCTTCGCTCTAAAGTTTTCCCAAGTATTAGTTGTGCTTTGGTAGAAAATGGAGGTACAAGTAAAACAGGACTTGGTTCTGCATTAAGTGGTTCTGTGCAGCCTAAAAGAATCTGAAACATAAGTCATTTGTTCCTCCTCAAGGTAACACCAGGCTTTAGTTAGAGCTAAATAATTCAGTGTTGCTCTTATGCTTTTCCAGATCTCCTCATTATGGGGCACTTAGCATCAGAATTCATTTTGTGAAACTGGAAGCTACTTAGAAAAACAGATACAGTTTTAAAAATGTTATTTAAACGATTTCCTCTCTATAACCCAGTCTGCTGGATTTGAGAAATTAGCTCCTCTCTCTTGGGAGGAGACAGTTACTAAGTCGAATTCATGCAACATGGAAGGGATTTTTTAGTCATTGCTCTAATTGGCCTGTGGCTCATTGTCTGGAAAATGGGAGAGAGACATGGGCTGTATGATCCATAAAAGTCACTTATACATTCAAGAGATATCTATTGAGCTTGTAGTATGTACCAGGCACAACCTTGTTCTCTGAGGGTTCTAGGAACAGAATGAAGAGAAGAGAAAGAAGAGTGTTGCTGGTTGGCACTGAGCCCCAAGAAGGTCCTTGTCATGTCACTGATTCTAGTCTAAATATGGCTGAGGGGCCCAAAGAGGGTGTGCAAGATGTGTATGGCGGTCTCAGTAGAGCACACAGTTAACACCTCCTTGTTTTAGGTAAGAGTTGGAAAATCTATTATTTCATAATCTGGGGTGTTATTAGCACACCTGACTCAGATTTTCCAACTGTGAGAATTCTCTGACAGGAGCTGGAGGCCCAGGGAAAGCTAAAGCCCATGGGAAAGCTGGAGTTTGGTTCATTTTCCATCGTGGAAGTGTTTATTCTGAGGCTTTTATCACTGAGTTAATATAATAATAGCAGAATAATAGCTTCCTGTGTTCCAGACCCATGGCAATTGCTTTGCATGCATTAAAGGGTGGTCATATTTTGTTCTAGGGGTGTGTTCCTGGAGACCTCTCATAATTTGTTACTTGTATTGTTTCTAACTTGCATAATTCAACATGGGTTCCCGCAAAGGACAAGTGGGTGTTTCTGTTCAGCAGCTGAAGCAGACCCACCATGTGGCAGTCAGTGGTTCACAGTTTACCAGCTTTACCATTGTGCAATCCTTGACTCATTTTTTTTTCAATATATGAAATTTATTGTCAAATTGGTTTCCATACAACCCCCAGTGCTCATCCCAACAGGTGTCCTCCTCAATACCCATCACCCACCCTCCCCTCCCTCCCACCCCCTATCAACCCTCAGTTTGTTCACAGTTTTTAAGCCTTCACTCATTTTTAATTTGGAGAATTGTCATGGTTTCAAGGTTTGTGCATGAAGTGACATTAGTAACATTTTTATGTGCCTAGTTTCACATGCACCTAACTCAGAGTCCCATTAAATGTAACTAGACTGAAGCGCATTCATTCCCCCAACAGTTGTGTCACTATTGCTATCTTATAGATAGGACATAGGCTTAGAGAGCTGAGCACTTGCCCAAAGATGCACAGCATGAAATAACCTAGGAGTGCCTTGACTCCTAATCGGTCTGTCTCCATGCCCTTGGCTCTTCACAAGGAGTTCCAGAGAGATTACATATGGGGCCCAAGTTACCCAGCTCATTGTTAGAACCTGAATCTAGGTCTTTCCCTTTTTTATTCAGAGCTCTCTCTTTTTGTTCTTGTGCCCATTCATTCAAATGACAGGTACGCATTTACCTTTACGCATTTTATCTAAGTGTTTTTGTTTCCTACTTCAGCTATTATAAATTTAGTGGCTTAAAACCACACAAATTTATTCTCTTATAATTCTGGAGGTCAAAAGTCTATACTAGTGGTGCTGGAAGGATAACATTCTTTCTTGATGCCTCAAGACAGAATTGATTCCTTAGTTTTTCCAGATTCTAGCAGTCCTTGGTTTATGGTTTTTAACTCCACCTTCAAACTAGGCTACTCCAAACTCTGGTTGCATTGTCGTGTCTCCTTTTTCTGAGTTTGACCCTCCTCCCTTCCTCCCTCTTACAGAGATCCTGTGATTACGTGGGGCACATCCAGGATTATCTCCCCATCTCATGATCCTTCATTTAATCACATCTATAAAGTCCTTCTTGCCGCATGAGGTGCCATTGCCACAGATTTTAGGGACTGGGTTGTGGACATCTCTGGTGGGGGGGCAAGGGCATTGTCTGTCTGTCACACTAAGTAACATTAACCCAGCAGGCTGGAAGTTCCTAGCCAACAGCAAGCTAAGTGCTGGAGATACAAAGATGCCTGCCTCACAGAGGCCTTTTCCTGGAAAGCTCAATTTATAAGATGTTGGAGAGTAGGGAGGGAGGGAGGGCAAATAATGAAATACATGCAACAGTGTGATAGGGGCCAAAAGAGCAGCCTGCATAGATGGGTTCTGGGAACACACAGGAAGATGCCACCAAACTTGCCACACTGCTCTTCCTGGAGGCGCTTCCTCCTGACTAGGACTTATGTTTAATAATCTGTTTTCCCTTTGTTTGTTTGTTTGTTTGTTTGTTTGTTTATTTATTTATTTATTTATTTATTTATTTATTTATTTATTTATTTCTGTCTCTGTTGTCTCTTGAAATGGAATCAGGAGTCATGAGCTTCTTCCTGAGTCCTACAGCCTGCCTTTCTCAGAACACCTTATTTCCCTAGTGTTTTAATACAACATCTGACTGTTAGGACACATAGGACACACATGTGCTTTATAGTTTACAAAGGGCACAGAATGGATCTCATTTTTTCATTCCATCAGTCTCTAAAATAGGTATTATCATGCTCCTTTCTAAGGGTGAGCCTGTTTCACCTTTATGTCTAAGAGGCCTGATTCAACTCTGGCAAATGCTCAGTGGTAAAACTGGAGATAGATCATTGAGTTTCCTAAATGAGATCTATAGAATTAAACTGAGCCCTTGTCTGTGGGACAGTTTGATGGTAGGGTGGGGAATGAGCACACTCTAAAACCCCCCAGGTCACAGAATCACTGTCAAAATACAAAATAAATAAATAAGTGTAAGTAAACTGAGATAAATTAGTAATTCCGGTAGTGTTCACGCCTGTCATCTCTCGGGTAGGAAAGCCACATGTGTAAGAGAAATAGCATCATTGTGTGTACGTAGGGAAAGCGCTAGGCCTGGTACGTAGGACAGTCTCATTTTGCTGGCAGGAAAGGGAAAACTTAAAGATTGTCCGTGGAGGAACCTGAACAAGTAGAAACAGCTGCAATT